CCACCCTTCAAATATCACTTGTTTAGATAGGAATTTCCAAAAGTATAAAGATTGCATGAACGATCAATAGAGCCTCTCGATGTTAATGCGTGCTGTGTGAAACAAGCACGGCTTTCTTGCAGTATTCTGTATGCGTCCGACGTATGCGCTACCCTTGGTTAATTTCGTTCTCGCAAGCACTACTCACAGCCAATTGGATCTGAAATACGGTGGCTAGCAGTGCTTCCCCCTTTTTCTTTTTCTCCAGGTGAAACCAAAAGCTTAACTGCATTTTCAGTGCAGTTAAGCACGAATGTGAAATATAGGAGTTTGATCGTCTGCCCTATCATTCATGCATAATTTATAAAAGTTAATCTCAGCAACTGATCTGTGCGACTACAGGTACACGGCGGCAGTGTGGCAGTCTGTGACACCAAAGTCAGCTGAATGTCACTTGCCGCTGCCTGCAAGCTTTTCGTCTGCTTCATTCTCCTACGTTTAGCTACTCCCAACAACCACTCATATCTTGACAGCGATGCGCCATATCAGCCAGTCACCGAAACCATTCCAGTTATTTCCACTGAAACGACCAGCTCTCTGTTTCTTCGAGATGCAAATTCCGAAAATCTAGCAAAAATTGAGCCAGATGCAAGTTTCTCCGGAAATATCGAAACTGATCTTTCCGATGTTGAAAATCCGCTTTATTACTGTCGGCTGGAACAGATCCTTGAGGAATGGTTTAAAACAATGAATGAATCAGTCGACGATCCTGGTCAAAGTCCAATCCCAAATGAGACCATAGTCGCCGAGCAAGATCTCCTGGACCTTGAAGCTATGTTTTTCGCAGCCGAACCGGATGCTGTCCAAGCTGCAGCTACAACAATGAAGCCATTTATAGACTCGGATTTTCACAATGATCAATCAGAACTGTGGAACTCGATGCTCAGTAGTGACACATTTACAGCTCTGATTTCGAGGAACGCTCAGTCCAGTGGACTGCAGTCGGCTGCTGATTTGGAGCGGCTGGAGCACAGCCAGCAGAAGCCAATCACTTCCAACAGCACAGAAGCGCCGCTCAGTAGTCCTCTTCTTAGCGACGTTACAGCACAGCTTCCTTTAGAACCAGTGGATTTATCCAGAAACAATCGTGTGTCGGAAGATTTATCTTTGATCCCTTCCACTGAGGTTGACAGCAAATTAGTTTCAACACTTTTGCAAAGGCCCACCATCGATAAACTCGAAGCAGATGCAACTTGCCTGCACGGTTCTGCCAGTGGATCAGGTGCATGCTCCACATCAAGATCCATCGATTCAGAACTTGGACCGAATTCATCTCTTTCTATGGATTCACGCGAGTCGCAAGGTGCTGCCGAAGGTGCGACAGTATTAAATCTTGTTATCGTAGGAAGCCCTGTTGCCACTAATTTTGTGTCAAATTCATCAGGCAAATACATCCTCAGCAGACTGCCAAAGAGAAAACCAGAAATTCGTACTTTGCTCTGCTATAATCTTATTCCTCCTGTCGTGAATCATGTAATAATTTATAAACCGAGTGTGACCATACCGCCACATTTTACCATCAAACAACCGACTAGTTCCAAACAACCAACTAAAAAAACAGTCAATAAACCAATCACTTTTCAGCCAGTTCCTACCCAAACTTCAGCTCGAACTGAGCTAGCCATAGCTACATCGGGTGAGTCAGTTCGTACTGCGCAGCCCTCAACAAGTAATAGTACGAAATCAACCAAACGGTTCACCTGTGGAAGATGTGGCAAGCTATTTTTTACCTACATCATTTTCAAAAAACATCTTAGCAGCCACAACAAGAAAGGCGAATATCGATGCAACTGGCCCAACTGCGGCATTATCGAAGAAGGCTACAAACACCTCTCACGCCACTATCTGGAACATTTGTCGGGGAGTGATTTATCCCTATGTGACATTTGCGGTAAAATTTACGACTGCAAGTCTCACTTGACCTCACACATGCAATCAGTGCACACGAAAGGTGAATTTTGTTTCCAAAAATAACATTGTTTTTGCGGCTCAAGTTTAGACGCTAACCACGGAGCCTCGACAGACAACAAGGAGGCACTCAGCCTGATATGTTCTCTGTACTCTTCGAGAAAAACATGCTCAAGCTTATGCCGATTACATGAAAACCCACCACACCATCAGATAGGACTAGCACAGCAGCGTATTGACCAAAGCGACCATCCACTGGCAAGACTGTTCACAGTCCGAAATTTTCCGAAGGATGATCAGCAACTATCTGTCAGCCATTTTCACCTCTTTAGCATCAGCATCAATTTCTCATCG